CCCTAGCAACACCCGCTCCCTCACCCTCCTTGTCTATTACACACCCAACTCCCCCGACCCTTGCCCATTCTACCGACCCCGTTCCTCCGGACCCCTGTCCCCCCATGGACCCTCCTTCTCCCATACCCCCGGACCCAGACCTTTCCTCTTTTCTCGCTAGCCTTTCGAAATTGACCTGTCCCGTGACCGATACCCCTTCACCCTCTCTGCCCTTCCCTCCTTCTCATTCCCCTTCGCCCTTCTTCTCCAAGGATCCCTCATCCCTACTCTCCACTCTCATGAATCTTGTCCAGCCCGTTAATCCCGGTCCCCTTGCCTCTGTTCCCTTATGCACAGACACCCCTCCCATCCTCCAGGACCCTCCCGCTATCCACCCAGTGTTACCTCCTCCTCCTCCCGAAGTCCCGGCCCCCTCTACCTCGTTGCCTCCTCCTCCCTCGGCCGATTTGCCGTCCCAACCCTCCACCCACGTTGTTACGACACAACCCCCTGTTCCCATCCCTCCGACCCCTCCCCCGGTGACCCCTGACCCATCCACGGCCAATGACCTGTCTAGCTCGATATCCGCCCTCTTCTCTGCTGTTACCTCCCTGGTTAATTCCGCGATCCCTGTGCCGCCTCCCACTGATTTACCACCCCCTCCTCCTCCTCCTCCCCCCGAACCTCCGACCCCTCCCTTGTCTCCCGCTAGCATCCCCGAGCCTTCCGATCCAATCTCTGCTCTTGCTCATGTCCTAAATACTCACCTCTCACGCCATCTCAACCGGCCCCCATAACAGCCCCTTCCACGGCATTGATTCCTCATGTCCCTTCCGCCAGTCCTAGTTATCCAATCATGGTGGTTGGGTCTGAGGTGTCTGTGACATCGGACCAACCCTATGCGATGGGTGCTTCCCCCCAGGCCTCAGGTTTCCACCAAACTACCTCTCCTATCACCGGCCTCCCTGCCGCCCCCGCCACAGCTACCCCTGAGACTACTCTTCACCGCGGCCCGGTGGTACCCGAGGAGGTCGTTGTGGTGGACCAGGGCTCACCTCGCCTAGGGGGGAACAGGCACCCCCAACGGCACTCTATCCCCCAGGGTTATACCCAGATTAACCATGGAGCGGATGGTGTACCACCCATGTATGTTACCTTCAACCCTTCCCAAGCTGCTACCCTTGTGACCTCACTCCCTGATCCTGAGAAACACCCCATGCCCTTTTTCCGCAGGATGGCCCAGATCCGTAAAACATACTCCGCTGCTTGGCGGGATCTTATTAGTTTATGTGAAATAAAGGCTGGAGATGCATACTGGCCAATTATGGAACGGAGCTTTAACGACGCTCCACTTACTTCTGATACTGATTTTCGTTCTGGTGAAATTTTCTGTGAACAGCTTCGAGCCTGGGCACAGGATAAACTAGCTGATCAGGCTACTTGCATAAATGACCTAATTCAGGATAAACTTGACACAGTTGAAAAGTATCACTCTAGGTTGACTCAGACTTTTTCAGACTTAGGATTCAGCACCTATAACAAAGCACACACCCAGATGCTATCTGCAGCTTTTGTGGCAGGTCTTAGGGAACACATTCGTAAGGGGTTAATTTTACCTCGCCCTGAGTATAGAATTATTCCACTGGACACTCTTTTGTTGGTAGCCAAAGGCTTAGAATCTGTTTTGCAACCCACACAGCGAAGAACCAGTCCTCTGATGTACACTACCTCCACACCAATTGCAGGTTCTAACCAAGTTCCTCAGTTACTCCCCCAACAGTACACTCAGTCACCCCAGACACTGCCTGCACCAATTCCCTTCTCCCGGGACCGGACTATCACGACAATCCGGACCTGTTTTAATTGTAATCAGCCAGGCCACTTTAGAAGAGATTGCCCACACCCTAGAGTGTTCCGCCAACAGGCTCCCCAGTACCCAAGTCCCCATGTCACCGGCTATAACTTCCCCTCCACTGGTTACCTCCCTGCCCTGCCCCATCCACAGTTGCCACAGCTTCCTCCACCTCCTCCTCCTCCTGAATACACCCAAGCCCGGCTCCCTGCATCAGAAGCTCGTGCATACGCTTCGCCCTCTGCTGAAGGGTATGACAACGATGATTTCCAAGACAGCCAGCCACAGCCCCGCCACGCCACGCCATCCGTCCATCCCGTCCTCCCATGCATTCTACTAACCCTCCCTCCACTTCCCGCCGGTTCCAGGGACCAGACCAGGCCCATCTAGATTTATTACAATAGGTAACTGGCAAGCCTGTGTCAGCAACCCCTGCCATGGCAGTGTCTGCGGGGGATGGGGGAGGGCCTTTAGCTACTGTAGTTCTCCCCGTGGAGGGTCACCCAACCACCTTTCTAGTTGACACAGGTGCAGCCCGTAGTGTCCTTAGGGAACAAGACCTGCCAGACCCTTCCTTCTTATCTGACACCGATGTCTCCTGTGTTGGGGTGGATGGTACACCACGCAGTAACCCCCTTACTAAGCTCCTACACGTAGGATCACACATCCTCTCCCGGTTTGTTGTTTCCTCTACTTGCCCCATTAACCTCCTAGGTGCCGATGTTCTCTCTCGGCTCCAGGCTTCTATTACCTTTACTGCAGATGGTCAAGTTGAGTTGACAACCCCCTTATCACAAAAAGATACCTCTGTCCTCTGCTCACTCCCCATCTTGTTGAACCTAACTGACAATACAGGGAATGCACGGGTCTCACACACCCCCAGTGCTCTGGATCGTATCCCCCAAGAACTTTGGTCCACCGGCCCGGATGATATTGGGCGCTTACATGTACCCCCAGTCTTGGTCCAGCTCCTGCCTGGAGCACTACCTCCTCGTAGACCACAGTATCCTCTGAAGCCAGCACAAGCTGAAGCCATTACCAAACAAGTTGAAAGCCTACTTGCCAAAGGTGCCCTCATCAAGTGCACATCTCCATGTAACACACCACTTTTCCCTGTTAAAAAGCGAACTGTTAAGGGTCAACCCGACCAGTACCGCATGGTGCAGGACCTCCGTGCTGTTAATGAAGTAACCATAAAAGACACTGCTATTGTTCCAAACCCTCACACCTTCTTGTCCCAAGTCCCACCAACTTCCACAATATTCACTGTAGTGGATCTAGCTAATGCCTTTTTCAGTGTCCCCCTTGACCCTTCCTGCCGCTTTCTTTTCGCCTTCACTCATGAAGGACAACAATATACCTGGACTGTTATGCCACAGGGGGCTCAGAATTCCCCTACACAGTTTGCTCATGCCATGTCCCTGGTTCTGGATCCCTGGCAGAAATCTCATTTGGATGTTGTCCTGCTTCAATATGTTGATGATCTCCTTCTCTGTGCTCCTGATTTGCCCATTGCAGAGCGTGACTCAGAAGATCTCCTATGCTTCCTCGCTGCAGCCGGTTGCAAAGCTTCAAAATCGAAGCTACAATGGTGCCGGCCCTCTGTGGTCTTCTTGGGACATTGCCTTTCCCATGGCACCAAACATCTAACTTCTCAACGTGTGCAAGCTATTCTGCAACTCCCTTTACCTGCGACACATCAGACTCTTCATGCCTTTTTGGGTCTTATCACATATTGCAGGTCCTGGATACCCGAAGCATCAAAGCTCATGCAGCCTCTCTACGATGCCCTCAGGAGTGAGCCCTTTCACCTCACTGAAGAAACAATCACCTGTTTCCACAATCTGAAAAGAGCTATTGCTTCTGCACCTGCTTTGGGCCTACCCAACTACCAACTTCCTTTCAATTTGTTTGTCTCTGAAAAGTCAGGACATGCTTCCGGAGTCCTTACCCAGAAACATGGGTCACGGCAACGACCTATTGGCTATTTTTCCTGCATGCTTGACCCTGTTGCGAGGGGTAGCCCCTCTTGCCTCAGAGCGGTGTTTGCCGCCAGCGCCCTCCTAGACAAGACAAATGATTTTGTTCTTGGCCATCACCTCACAGTGTTGGCCCCTCATGACATTACTGCAATCCTGCAACAAGTTCAACCTAAACACCTTTCCTCCCAACGTCACCTCCGTCTGCAAACCTCCTTACTTCTACCTGACAATGTGAAACTCCAGAGATGTCTTTCCCTGAACCCAGCCACTCTTCTGCCACTTCCCAAGGGGGGAGTTGTTCATTACTGGTATAGCCTGGATATCAACCCAGAGGTCCGAACAGATTTGCAGCTGCCTGCACTTGCACCTCCACATGATGAACAATCAGAGGCCCTACTTCACTGTACCTTGTGGTTTAAGGACGTACCAGGCCCTGATATGAACTATGAGGAAGAACTATTCCAGCTTAAAGAAATTCAAATTACCCTGACTGACTTATTCTGGGACCCCACAGGTACCAGGCTCATCTTAGTCCATCTTCCAGAGAATGTAACACATCTCTATCATCATTGGGAAACAGCTATCCCACACATATCTCTCACCAGATCCCCCGACACCTCATGGAAAGACCTAGGCCCGATGGCCAAAACCTGGAGCCAAATGACCCAAGAACAACTGACTTCTACGGGGATCAACAAAAAGACTATTAACTACTGTACAGCAGGGTACCCAAGGTACCACACAGAAGCCTGTGAAGATTCACTCACCACAGACTGTGACCTAGATATTCCTCATGATTGTTTTGAACAAATGAAAATGGAAACTACACACCTACCAACTGTCTATGAAGCTGCATTACTCAACCCGGATCAAACACTATTTGTGGATGGGTCAAGATTTTCTGATGAACAGGGACAATATCACACTGGGTATGCAGTCACCACAGGATGTCAAGTATTACAAGCAGCTGCCCTACAACCAGCTAAGTCTGCTCAAGAAGCCGAGCTAACAGCCCTGACTGTGGCCTGCAAATTGTCTGAAGGTCTACGTGTCAATATTTACACGGATTCAAGATATGCCCTGGGAGTAGCACACGATTTTGGCTTAATTTGGAAGACCAGAGGATTTCTTACGGCTACCGGTACCCCAGTAAAGCATGGGGCAGCTATTGCAGAACTGATGGATGCATTGGAACTCCCAGCAGAGGTGGCAGTACTGAAAGTAAAAGCCCACGGAAGACTAGACACAGAGGAAGCACGTGGCAACCACTTAGCTGATCAGGCAGCTAAGGAAGCAGCACGGCAAGGATGGGAAGTGGACAGAAGAGTGGCCACAGATACACTACCCATCTACACTATGCAAACATTGCCTACAGATCTTAGGCTTCTGAAGGAACAACAAGCTGCTGCTACTCCCCAGGAGAAACAAAGTTGGAAGAATAAAGGAGCTGTACTCCGTGATGGTGTTTACACCATCAATCTCAAGTTCTGCTTACCCAGTAAGTATGTACTCAGCGGTGGTCCAATGGGCCCATGGGCCAGCCCACCTGTCGAAACTCCTGATGAACTCACTGATTGACAAGTATTTTGAAGCACCAGGCATCACTACCTTAACACAGAATTACTGTAAATCTTGTACTATATGTGCTAAATGCAATCCTGGAAAGATCATAAAGACCACACCTAATCACCTAGCTAAACCACAATACCCCTTCCAGAGGATCCAGATTGATCACATTCAGATGCCAAAGAGTGGACGTTATGAATATGCATTGGTCATAGTGGACATGTTTTCAGGATGGCCAGAGGCCTTCCCAGTGACTAATCTCACCGCGAGGACTACAGCCAAGTATCTTTTGACAGAAATTGTTTGCCGCTATGGAGTTCCAGAAGTAATTGAAAGTGACCAAGGGACCTCCTTCACTGCCTCGCTAACACGGGAAGTCTGGTCAGCACTGGGGGTGACCCTTGCATTCCACACACCATACCACCCACAAAGTAGCGGTAAGGTAGAACGCATGAATGGCACTTTGAAAGCCAGAATGCTTAAGATGTCACAAGAAACTAACATGCCCTGGCCCGAGAGTCTCCCACTAGCGTTATTTAGTGTAAGGTATACTCCCAGAGGAAAGTATAGCTTGTCACCTTATGAGATTTTGTTTGGTACAGCACCCAGGTTAGGTTGCTACTTTCCCCAACAGCTTCAGATTCAGTCAGATGCTATGGTAGACTATGTGACTGCCCTCTCACATGCCTTGACCAAGATACATGCCCAAGTGTTTTCTTCTATTCCAGATCCTGAGTCGAATACAGGTACACACAAGCTGCTTCCGGGTGACTGGGTTATGGTCAAGAAGTTTCTCAGAAAACACACCCTAGAACCAAGATTTGATGGTCCTTACCAAGTGCTCCTGATTACAGCAACGTCAGTTAAACTAGCTGGAAAGAGTTCTTGGATACACGCTTCACATTGCAAAAAAGTGCCTGCTCCAGAAGAGGCTGATCCTGTTGAAATATGAATTTATTATCTGTCTTGTGTTTTCTTATGCTGCTACACTTTGCCTGGGCCCAACAAGTGGCCATAACCAAAGATAATCACGTTTACACTTTCTGGTACAATTCCTCTAATACTGATGTAGCCACATACACCTTTGATTACTGTGACATAGTTACTTGTACATTTCCACAAACACAATATGCAGCCATATACAAAGACATACCTAGCAAAAAGGATCCATACATTTGTGTGACTGGAGGAGTTTGGGGACACTATTGTAGTTCATGGAAAGCTGCCGGGTGGAATACAGGTAGACCATGGGGCTACAGACCTCAAGTTGCACTGGACAGACTTGACAAAGACGGGAAACCCCTACTTTCTAGAATGACTCTGAGTAAACCCATAGGGTCAACTCCCATTAAACTTACCCTGAATATAGAACACCCCAGCCCAAGGGATGCAGGGGAATATGTGATGGGAATGTATTGGAAGGGAGGTGGCTCACATAATGCATTGGGGATATTTTACCTACAAGACATGCTGACCTCCCCAGACTGGGTAGGGACCACTCACATCATCATTAACCCATTAAAGCCACATATTAAGACCCTACATGACATGGTAGCTATAGCCAACCCCACCTTTGAAGATACCATGGCAGTAGAGACTGGGTTTTCAGACACTAATTTGTGGCTAGAATGGATGAGGTATAATGCTAACTCACATAATAAGACTAACTGTTATGTATGTGGAGGAGCCAGGCCCCATCTGGGTACAGTACCTCTGAGCTTACCCCCCGAAGTAGAATTATGTGTTTTGAGTCTTTATGCACAATCCACCACCAACTCCTCAACATGTGAATCATGGAAGAGAATTTACCCAATCACTCATGGACATGTAAAACCACCTGATGGAGTCACCGTCTACCCAGGTAATTACACATGTTATGCAATACCTAAGAACGCTGGTTTGTATCTGGGCAAATTCCCATCAGGATACTGCTCAGCTTACCATAATCCACCTGTATCACTGCTAATGAACCACACAAAGACAATCGGTGATATCTATTGGTTATGTGGTGACAAACAATTGAGGTCCCAATTAGCTGGGCAATGGTGGGGGGAGTGTGCCCTAACCAAAGTCATAATGCCTATCCACATTATTCCAGATGGTAGTCATAACACGTTAAACCTTACACATGTACACTCTAGAACCAAACGAGAGGCTCCTATCCGAGGGAGCTTCGACCCCCATGTGTATATTGATGCCATAGGTGTGCCAAGGGGGGTGCCTAACGAATTCAAAGCAAGAGATGAAGTGGCTGCAGGATTTGAATCCCTAATTCCAATGATAACTGCTAACAAAAATGTCAATTGGATCAACTACATCTATTATAATCAGCAGCGCTTCGTTAACTACACAAGGGATGCCCTGCATGGCCTAGCAGAACAGTTACAAGCCACTACTCAGATGACATTTCAGAACAGAATGGCCCTAGATATGATTTTAGCTGAGAAAGGGAGAGTATGTAAGATCCTCCCTGAGACTATGACATGTTGCACATACATTCCAGACAACACTGGGCCAAATGGTAAGGTGATTACGGCCATAGAAAAGCTAGATAGCCTTTCTGATGAACTAAAGAAAAATTCAGGAGTCACTGACACTTGGGACAGATGGTTTGGGTGGATGAATGGTTGGCAAAGGACTCTCTTCCAGGTAGGGACAGCTGTTCTTATAATGATTATCATCTTCTTATTTTTAACATGTTGCGTGCTCCCTTGTATACAGAAGTACTTACAGAAAGCGGTAGATAAGACTATAGATGACGTGACCCCTACTTTCCTACATCAAGACATCACAGACCTCAAAGATGACACTCCACATACACCCCTCCGATCACATCAGTTCAAACAGACAACTGCTCTCCTGTAGGGACAGTGTAGGGAAAGCGTCTGTCTTGGCAGGCGAGTCTCATGTGTGGAGATGTGGTGGACTACCCACGGTTACCCACGGAGTGAAGTGTTCGATGCTTGTTAAGACAGATGAGCTGCAGGCAGCTAGGGACATATTAGGGACAGTAGCAGTTGTTATGGTAAATAGCCATTTTATGGGGGGACTGTTGTGGAAATAAGGTCTGCACATATTTCCTAGTTAGTGAAAATGTCTATTTACTCATTCCACGATATATCATATATAAAGCTGGACACACATGTTATAATCAAAATGGCTGCTAGAAGCTTCTAACCCCTCCTCCCCCCCCCTTCCCTTCTTAACACCAACTAACTACCTCGTGCAGCAAGATGGTGCCGGGAAACCGTGGGAGACCCTCATGGCCCCGGTGACATCACTTCAGTAGGCAGAGCATTAGAGCAACCACTTAACACCTAACCAATTATTGATGTATTATTCCATGTTATCTCTGACAATGCTTATGATGTAATTTTGCTTTAAAAGGGACCTGCCGTCCCCTCTGAATAAACATTCCTCAAGTTATTCAACAACCTGGAACCTGTGTCTGGTGTGAATTACTTCAGGGAGCGTGCACGCATCGTTTCATTGATTTGGCCAGGGGCAGATACACAAAGAAATAATCAATACTTTGATTGATTTTTTCCATTTCAAATTGCTAACAAAAATGGAGTAGAATATAGTCGAGCCGAATGTTGACCTGACATACAAAAGTGTATGTTAACTGCATAAGCGCATCTGAATGTAATAGGGCTAATTTTTAAAATGTAGCGTGGCCGAAAAAAGGTATAATGTCTAATCAGCATAGTGTGGCTAAATGGAGTGATCATGCTGTAGGAAGTTTGGCATAGCCAAACATGGCCTAAACTAACAATATGGTTTGTAACGGAGCTCCCTGTACCCCTTGCTGGGTACCTCCGTCAAGGACCGCTTCCTAGCTGGAACAGGGGACAAACCATTGCACTTCTGCCCACAGTCACGGTGGCTTGACTGGAGCCCTGGAACCACTCCTTCCTGGAGCCAAATGGGGAATTAGCTCTAGACACCCACAGGCACTGGACGACACTCGGTCCTGGGAGCTCTAGTCCTTACGAGGACTTTCCCCGTTGAATCCCCTGCAAGTTGGAACTGCAGACACAGGAGTAAATCTTCTTTCCCTCCAATAACAGGATAACACACATTTTAATGGTGCCACACTGGCCTTTTATGACAATCCCCATGCAAGGGGTACGTCCACATGGACCTTTTTGGGGACTGGGACACAAACTTGCAAACCAATAATAACACATTTACAATGTAAGGCACTCCCACACATGACACATAATCCCTTCTGTATCCAATTTTAGTTCCAGGAGATTCATGCCCAAACACCGCTGCCTGCGTTCATGTGAACAAGATGCCGCCACCTCGTGGTTGTCTATAGGAATTGCTGCCACCCAGACGAACAATTAGAACATTGCGGTGAGAAACATTCCAAGTTGTTAATAGGTGTTAACAAGCTCCAGGGTGGTCTCTGGTTCGTGCGGTTGTTCGGTAAATGAACCATATAATCCCAATTGCACGAACAGAGACTTTTACATTATATTTCACAGGGTCCATAGTCTGTGGGCAGGAGGCTGGCAAGCAGGCTCCTCCAGGAACTTGTGGCAAACTTAGGTAAAAAGGCTAGTTTGTCACATGGTTTAAGTAAAATAATGAGTTAAATGGGGAGTGAAGACTGCCGTTCTTGGTTCCTTCTCACGGTGTCCTTCAGCAACAGTTCATTCATAAGTCAGAATCAGAAGTTGTAACCCTGGCAACGATGCAGGAGGAAGCAATCTAAATGGCTATGGCTCAGGAGAGGAGACAGACTAAGGTTAAATAACTGGGTAACCTTTCCCACACTTCCAGAAAGACCTGAAAAGGTTAATGTTTGTACTTTACAAAACTAGGTCTCAACAAAGAATAAGGTTGAATACTATAGACAGAAATATAAAG